GTTGGGCATTTAATCCCTGGGAGTTGGGAGTTCAATTACTGGTACCAAAATAAATTAATAAAGTCTTTGGTGGAGAAAAATGAACCATTATAGGGAACATTGTGTTGTAGGCGCCTCTACCTCCCAACCTTTCCCAACTTTTTAATATTCGAATTCACTGAGTTCTCACAGTAAAAAGCAAGATAGATCATAAAAATCTATTTGGATTCTACTCTGTAATTGCAAAATACACCTCAGAAGAATATTGTGAATTTTGTATTTTGAATAGATTCCACTGCAATATTTGATTGAGTTTCTCAATCCCCAATATTTTATAGGGAGGATCTGGTTGAGTTCCTGCATGTATGTATTCATTAATTCTTATTGGAACTCTTTGAGGTCAGTTACATCTTCCTTTAGCACAGCAGTGCAGCAACATTCTTGACAACATAACCATGGGTTGCCTTTCTAGCCTGTTATTCTTTAGTTCAGTGATATTGAAAGATTACTTAATAATTTTAATGTTTAATTTCTTCATTCCTCCCGTGGGTATTGGTAGTATCAACCAAAATAAAGCAAATAAGATGATGAATGTCAATGCTTAGCCCAGTGCCAAAAGAAAGTGACAGATTCCTTAAAGAAAATAAAATTGAATATGTGAGAGGTGACATGTCTTGCCCAGTGTTTTAGTCAACTTTTTCACTACAATGACTAAAGGACCCAACCAGAACAATTGTAAAGAAGGAAGGTTTATTTAGGAGCTCAGGGTTCCCTTTGGGGAATTTGTACCTGGTTTGGCATCTTTTTCTCCAATTCCTTTGAGATCCTTTTGAAATCAGTTATGTCACCATCACTGAAACATCCAGCCATCTACTGTGGAGACACTGGTTCTCTGTAGCCAAATTTTGCTCTTCAGGAGCCCTCCAAGATGCTACACCCTAGATGACAAGAAAATTTAGAGGTGCTCTTCAAAATCAGGAAGAGTTAGTTTTTGTCTCCAAAATATTAAAGATAGGAACAATAAAACCTATTACATAGGGTTTTAATGTGTAAATTAGATAATGATTCTGAAATGTGTAATACATACAGTGCCTCACATGTAGTAGCTCAACAAACATCAACATTGTTATTTCTTAGTAAAACCTGCCAAACTCTATGGTTTGCTACTGTTCTTTTCTTCTTTCCTTATGTTGAAAGCATCTGGAAAACCTTCCCTTGAAGGTCATCATTATTTTTCCCTATCTTATTGGGATCTCAGTTTCTTCCTGACTACACAAATACACTCAGGATATTGAAAGAACACAGATGAACACTCAAATGGAGTTTTATTTTCATTTCCCCAATGGGTAATAATTGGTGCTTGTGTATGCTTATAAGATACTGAGGATCATTTTTCTAAAATTGCTAAGATTTTGCCATTTTTATTGTTTCTTTTATTATTGGTTTTAAGAACATTCTGCATTTGAGTTCTTTTTCAAAAATATCCATTACTGAGCAGGCATGTTATATATCTAAAGTCCAGTCTCTGGGGAGAGTGAGGGTTGAGGATTCTTTAAGCTCAGGAGTTCAGGGCCATCATAGGCAACCTAGTGAGAACCTGCCTCAAACAAAGAAAGTAAGATGCATTACAAATACCATTTTCCAATCTATGAATGTACTTTACATCTTGTTAACAAATTTAGTAAAGTAACAGGTTATAAAATTATAAGGTTATAAAGTTAAATAAATCAATTGCTCTCCCATACTCTAATAATGAATCTGCTGAAATAGAAATTAGGAAAACTATCCCATTCACAATAACTTCAAAATAAAAAATAAAATACTTGGAACCTGACCTAACAATGGAAGTTAAGGACCTCTAGAATGAAAACTATAAAACACTGAAGAAATAAAATAAAGAAGACCTTAGAAGATGAAAAAAATTCCAATGTTCTTGAATAGGCAGAATCAAAATTGTCAAAAAGGCTGTACTACCTAAAGCATTATACATATTCAATGTAATTCCAATCAAAATACCAATGGCGGACTGGGGTTGTAACTCAGTGATGGAGTGCCTGCCTCACACATGCCCTGGACTCAATCCTGAGCACCACATAAAAATAAATAAGTTAATTAAAGGTATTGTGTACATCTACATCTAAAAATATTTTTTAAAAAATACTAATGACATTCTTTACAGAACTAGAAAAAACAGTTTTAAAACACAAGAATAAGAGACCCAAAATAGCTAAACAATCCTGAGCAAAAAGATGCTGAAGTCATCACAATACCAGACTGAAGGCATCACAATACCAGACTCCAAATTATACTACAGAGCTATAGTAACAAAAACAGCACGGTATTGGCACAAAAACAGATTACAAAGATCAATGGAATAGAATAGAAGACAAACAGACAAACCCATGTAAATACAGTCACCTGATGCTCATAAAGGTGTCAAAAACACATGCTGGAGAAAAGACAACCTTTTTAACAAATGTTGCTGGGGAACCTGGGCATCTATTTGTAAAGAATGAAACTTTATCTCTATCCATCATCCTACACGAAAGTCAATTCAAGGTGAATCAAAGATCTCGGAATAAGTTCAGAAATTCTGCAACTGTTAGAAGTGAACATAGGCTCACATTTTGGCACAGGTATCAACTTCCTTAACAAGACTTTTAAAGCACAAGAAATGAAACCAAGAATCATAATGGTACATAAAATTAGAAAGCTTCTGCACCACAAAGGAAACAATTAAGAGTGTGAAGACAGAGCTTACAGAATGGGAGAAGATCTAGGCCAACTACTCCTCATATAGGTAATTAATATCCAGAATACATAAGTAACTCAAAAAAGTCAATACACACACAATTAATAAATAAGCAAAAGATCTAAACAGGCACTTCTCAAAAGAAGAAATATAAATATGACCAATGAATACATGAAAAAATGTTCAACATCTCTAAGAATCAGGGAAATGTAAATCAAAATTACACTGAGATTTCATCTCATTTCAGTCAGAAAGGCAATTATCAAGAATATAAATAATAAAAAAATGTTGGTGAGGATGTTGGGGAGTGAATACACTCCTACATTTTTGGTAAAACTGCAAATTAGTACAACCACTCTAGAAAGCAGTTTGGAATTTCCTCAAAAAAATAGGAATAGAACCACCATATGAGCCAGCTATTAACCTTGATATATATCTAAAATAACTAAAATCATCATGCTATAGGGATGCAGGGACATCAATGTTTACAGCAGATCAATTAACAATAACCAAGCTATGGAAACTATCCAAATTCTGATCAATAGATGGATAAAGAAAACGTGATATATGTACACAATGGAATTAGCAATAAAGAAAATGAAAATATGGAAATTGCCAATAAATGGATGGAAACGGAGACCGTCAGGTTAAATGAAATAAGCTGGATCCAGAAAGTCAAAGGTCAAAAGTTTTTTCTTCTGATATGAGGAAGTTGGACCAAAATAAGGGGAAAAGAAAAAGGAGGAGGAGGAAATCCTGTGAGAATAGAAGAGAGATCAGTGGAATACAGGAAGGGAATTTGGGGGGAAGGAGGAGAGATGGGAGAAGGGAAGAACTGTGTAATGTATCTGACCCAAATTTCCTATGTACAAAAATGAATATACCACAGTGAATCTTACCTTTATGTATATCTACAAGGCACTAATTACAAGAAAAAGAAAACTATAAATAAATAGAAGAAAGATCAGTGGAGGAAAAGGAATAAGGAGAGGGAGGGTTGGAGGGAAAGGGGAAGTACTAGGGATTGAATTAAAGCAAAATATATTACATGCATGTATAATTATGTCAAAATGAACCCTATTATTATGTATAACTGAAATTAATTAATTTTAAAAGTGAAAAAAGTGATTTTTTATATAGAATCTGGCTAAATTATTCAGGCTGGACTTGAACTGGCACAGGCATATGCTAACTTGGGCTGCTGTGCCCTAGTTTAAGACTCATTCCTCACAAAAAAAAATAAAACATATTTTATGTTCATAGGAAGTTGGCTTGAATGTTTTAGTTATCTTTATTTAATTAGTTTAAAAACGTTTTTTTGTAGAAACAATGTTGACTTCTATTGCTTCTAATGAGAAGTCAGGCATTATTCATAATGTTGTTTCTGAGAATATACTGTACAAACTTTCTCTGCCTTATTGGCAAGATTTTAGTGTTATCATTTTGTCTTAACTGGGTACCCCAAATGTGGATTTGAATTCATTCTCTTTTCAAAACCAGAGTGGTAGACTTACAGAATTTCCTATTCAACTTTCTAACCTCACACATAGGATTGTTCCTGACTGAGGAAGATCAAGTTTGTCAGTGGATGGAGATGCTGGTTATGAGCAAAGATTATGGAATGGGTAACAGAATAGATAGTTATAAAGCCAGATGCAGTCATGTGACCATTTGTGGAAACAAGGACTATAAGAGTTGTGAAACTTATTTTTCATTTTAACATGAATATATATTCTGATATATATAAATCATGGCATATTTTTCTTTGTGTACTACCATAAGATGTACTAAAGACAGTTAATCTTATATCTTTTTATATCTGTTAGTTAAGCTGTACAATATCAGTGGAACAGTGTGATACAGAGAAAAGAGGAATAACTATGACCCTGAGATAGATAAATGGACTCTGTATCCTTGGGGGAGAGGGTTAGCTTGTTTTTGATTGAGTGAGAAGTAGTTACATCATATAAACTGGAGGAATGGTTTTTTCATTGTCTATTTGAACAGTAAGTGTCATTAAAGAAGGTTCATATGGATGCCAAGTTGGCAAGTGGGTGTTATGGCAGCTTTATATTTTCTCAGCTAAAGTATATGGAAATATTTTCTCAAAACTTGCTTCCCAATATTGTTCTGGTTTAGCATTGTCCACAAAAGAAATGCAAAAGACATGGAAGGTGGGCAGCAGCCCTTCCCTACAGGCACTGCAGGTTTGGAGCATTAGCTACTGAGGCAGCTCAAACACGTGCTGTGATCTGCCAGCTCATCTTACTGTGAATTCACAGCTGCTTCACTTCCCACCACACCTCCTCCTTCAGCTCCTCTTTGTCCTGTACTGTGATGGCAAATGAACTGCTTCACCTAAAGTCATAGACCAAATAAGACTGAAGGAGTTAAGGCACTGATAAGCTTTAGTTTGTTCTTATACCTTCCCAATGTCCTCAGGGGTTCCACTATATCCTTACAAGTCACAGTTCATCCAAGTTCATGTCCTCCTTCATCTTTCCTTCCCAAATCTAGCCCAGCAGACCTTTGGTAAACTCAGGCTCAATAACAGTTGCAAAGACAACAGCTTTGCACAGACTCTA